CCCGCGCATTTGTGTGAAAGAAACTGAATACGTGCGCGACACGAAACAATAAGCTAATGCCTCTAATGCGGCAGCCAGCCCCGCACCGCACCCCGCACCCCGTGCTCTGCTCGCCGAGTCTGGTGCGGCGGCTGGTCCCCCCCGCCGAGCGCACACACCTGGTGCCCGCGCGCGCCATAATGCCACGGGACCATACCCAATCCCATCACCTGGTCCGGTCACACTTGCCGAGCTGACCCCTCGCCCACCGGCGGCGGCGGCGGCGGCGGCGGCGCAGCGCCACCACGCCATCCACGGGAGCCTCGCTGTGTCAATATTGAACGTTGACACGACGACCCCCCGCGCGCGCGCGTCGAGTCGGAGGCAGGCAGACTGTGCAATAAGGGATATGATGGGGCTGTGCAGCGGATCACATCCATAATTGTGCCGGTGCAAACAGAAACGCTGTCCAGTGTGCGTGTGTGCGTGTGTGCGTGTGTGTGTGCGCGCGCGCGCATTTGTACGGTACACACACCACGCAGAAGTACGTGGACGCGACCCTGCCGCTGCTCGCGCTTTGGGCGCCCCCGCCCAGGTCGCGCCGCACGCACCGCTCGCCGCCGGGGCGCTCGCGGGGTAAGAAACAGATTGCCGGCGGATTCGGACGGCTGATTCAGCTTCGATCCAGCGCACCACCAGAGCTCGGCGGGGTGCGGCGGGGTGGGGGCGTGGGCCGGTCGCCGCCGAGGCTGGTCCCGGGGATCACTCGGCCGCCGACCAAATGAAATTGCCCATATCAGCAGGGAGCTTTGCCTCACAGATCCTTTGCTCAATCAGCAAAGGGACAGCGCCAGGGAAACCCCCTCGCGGGTGGGGGGCGCGGGGGCGCGCGGCGGGGGCGGTGGGGTTAGGCCCGTCCCGGACCAGCAGAGCGGGTGAGGGGAAGGGATAGGGGTGCTCGCTTTATCAAATAGCCACTCACTGGAAAAAAAGGGGTGGGGGATGGTAATTTTCAAGTCAAATAATACAAGCAAGCAGCTAGACGGCAGCAAAAGGGAGGGTACTATGCGGAGACATTTTCGTTGCCCGGTCCGCAAACTCGCGTGCGCGCCTTGACGTCCCGCCAGCGGCAAAGGAGACTGGCGTGGGGCGGGGGTGGTATGGCACGCAGCCTCCCTTAGAGAACCCCCCGCCGCCGCCCCCCGCCC